GTGAAGAGTGTTTTGGATCGTTATCCTGTTGGAAAATAAAACTCAAGGGCATTTCCCACTCTGCATAAGGCAACATTACATTTTGCATTATATCTCTATAGACAAATCGATCCATGGTGTCATTAATAAAGCTTAAAGGGCCTACCGCATTCCATGAGAAACAACCCCATAGAAAAACACTGCCTTTACCATGTTTAACTGTGTTTGTAACGTATTTGGGATTAAACCTTGTGTTGATTGGCCGTCTAACATGCTTCATTCCATCAGAATTGAAAATCTTATAACGCGATTCATCGCTAAATAGAACTTTTTTCCACTCGTCTACTTTCCAATTCAAATGTTGACGTGCAAATTCAAGCCTAGCCACTCAATTTCTTGTCGAAATAAGCGGGTTTTTAGCGGACGTCTACTAAATAGCTTTGCATCTACCATCCTTAATTGCACTGTTCGTGGACTAACCATAATTCCGGGAATTTCAGCAATAATTCTAGGTGCAGACAACCAAGGATCGTTCTGAGAAATTCTTTCAATACGTCTGTCTGTCCAAATTGTTGTTTTTCTCGGTGTTCCCGCTTTAGGTAGAATCTCAAAATGTCTCCTTTCAAGGTAGCTTAAAATTATTTTGGATACGCTGTATCTGGGTAAAACAAACCGTCTTGAAATTGTGGCTTGTATTGCACCTTCCAAGTGCGCATTTTCTATTCTCTGCTTCAATTCTTTTGCAATTGGAATACCTCTTGGCATGATTAATCCAGCACAGAAATATTAGTTATACATAAAATAAAGTCGGCAATTTTTTTTCACTTTTCCTTTCACTAAAACCTTTGTTTTTTAGAAAAATATTAAAATGTTGCTTTACTTTTGACGCATTACAATTCTGTATTTGAAAGTTTACGTCAATATCAGTTCATTTTGTTTTGATTGTTGGAAAAAGCTGTTGACGTCGATAACAGCAGCCTACCTTGATATTTGAGACACAATGTATTTAAATACAATATCATGCATTCACTATTATAAAACTCCTTAATTGGGCTGAAGATAAAGTTTTCTAAGTCCGAAACATGTCCCCTTGAATAAGCACATCATTAAAAAAGTGTGAAGATGACTTTGAGCTTTCCTTCTTTCCTATGATGTACAGTCGTATTCAAAAAAAAGCGTACAAGTATATTGGAGGGAGAAATTAACGTCATCCTATTTGCGTAAAACGGGCTATCGGGAATGAATGTTTACCAAATGTTGACAGTATAGAGTAATCATAGGTTCTCAAAATCACAAAGCATTGGCTGAGCCAATTTTACACAACGAGAACTAGAATGCCAAAATCTTCTATGTACGCTTTTTCATTGAAATGTTAATAAGAGTTTTCCGAAATTTTGATCAGGTGCGTGAGAAATGGGTGGGTTAAGGAGCATTTCTTTTCCCAACTTTTTCATCTATGTAATCTTCGGCAGTTTGACCAGGAAATAAGAAAATATCATCATTTCTACCTAAAAATGATACTGGTACTTTCAATAGCATTCACCATTTACGAGATATGACTTCAACCAGTTGTAATAAGGCTTTCCCTAGGGAGAATGTAGATCGAAGGATAACCCACCTGCTATGACCAAATTCGCATTATAAAAGTCCTACCTTTCTCGAGATATTTTATATATTTTTTTTGAAAATATTGAATTTTTGCCCCATTCGATAGTTTTGTCTGTACGTTTGGTACAATTCCACACCTTCCTGTTTCATTTTGACAAAAAATTAATTGCAGACGTCAGAATGAGTCGCTTCGGTGCAATTTCAAATGAAGTTATCAACCAAAATATTGATGAAAATGTACCTTCAAATACCAAAAAATCAAAATCTTATGTATGGAGTCAATTTATGACGTTCTGTGTGGAACGCAACTACAAATTAGATGCAGAAAATAGCACCGTAAAACTGGCATCCATTCTGAAAGACTGGGTATTTAATATGCGGAAAATAGATGGTAGTGATAACGAAGAGAGTGTCATCAAAACCATATGGAACACTACTGCGAAATTAGTGCAAGAAAAATATTTTTGTGAGTATCAGAGACATATTGATCCCTTCAAAGAAATAATCTTCAAGGAGGCAAGGGCGGCTCGTGATAGTAAAAAAAAATCATTTCAAAGGTATACCCGGAAACAGGAAAGTAAGTTCTGTCGCTATGACTTCAGAAGAATATAAAAAAATGTGCTTGCAATGGGATGAAAACACGCCAGAGGGACTACAGAAGAAATTTGACCATATAGCTGCAGTAGAACTAGCTTGGAGAGGCAACGAAGCCACTTTTGCCATGCTACATTTTTTCAAGGAAGAAACTGACAACAAAGGCTGTTCAACAAACAGAATCGCATATAATCCTATATTTTCCAAAAGCTGCCAAGGTGGCGGTTAAAGCTGTGCAGATACTAAATGGCTCACTCAAAATTTAGAAAATCCTGGAATGTGTCCTGTAAGATTGACTTTTCCTGACGGTGAATGGCAAGTGGAATAAATATAATAATAATTGGTATAAGAATTGCCCTGTACGTATCAATACAATATCAAAATGGACGAAACTATCTGAAAAAAATACAGGATCAGACAAAGATCAGACATTGAAAATGTGAAAATAACAAATCACTCCAATCGCGCCACTGCACCCAGGTAACAAGCTGACGTCATTTGTACGTCATTATCACGTCAGGCCTGACGTCAGGATGACTTCCGAAATGACGTCATAATGACGTTTATATGACCTTCTAAGTCGAAGACGAATGACGTCATTTTCATGTCGTCAAAATGACGTCATCCTAATGACGTCAGAATGACGACATCCTAATGGCGTCAAAATGACGTGATCTTTACGATTATTTATATCACTTAAATCTTCTGCATGTTTCAGTTTATTTTGTGCTATTTCGAAATTTTCTGTAGGTAAAAAAAACACTGTTGCATTAGGGTTGTATCAATATTATCAGAAAATATGAGATTTGTTTCGTATAATTATATTGATGTTCCTCTACCACATTAAATGCAAAATAATATTATAGGTAGGTACTATAAATACCAGTTTCATAAAATGTTCTTTTTATAGGGAACTTATCCCATTCGGATGATGCACTCAAGAGATTTCTCAGAACCCTATGGTATTCCTTCAATGGCGTCCAATTCACATTCTGATTTTTCAGCATACACCACTTGTCTAAAATAATGACCATGCTGCCATCCTCAAATTCTACTACTTGATATATGAATATGAATAAGTATGACCACATAGATAGCCGAATAACATGATAATGATGGCCTTCTATGTATTGTTATTTTGTTGCTATGGTCATGTGGGTTGGCGCTGGCGGTCGACGTTCGCATGTCTGCGCAAGGTCCGTGCCGACCAATCAAATACAGTTCTCTACGCACTCTCCCGCTCTGATTTGAATTCGCATTCCGGAATAACAACGTTATAAGCTTTTTATGACGTGACATTCGGTCTTATATTTTCAATAGCTATAGGGAGAATACTTTGCACAGAAGGTATATAATTAACAATTATCTCAGAGACCATCGAAAACACACATCTCGCACAGATCAGAGGAAAAATTATTATGAAGCATAATATATGATGAGTGACATAATAATATATGTTATATAACATAACTACTAACGTTTTCATATAACAGAGATGGGAAACTTCTTGATTATGGATTTTCCTTGATGTAGATGACTCAATAAATGATGGTCATAATTAGTCATGAAAATGACCATCAGATGACGTCATAATGACGACATATCAAGGACGTCTATATAACGTCATATTAGGTACGTCAAAATGACGTCATTTTGAGGTCATATGACGTCAATGACCATAAATGACCATATATTGACGTACAAATGACGTCAGCTTGTTAGCTGGGCAGTTAGTCAGTTACTACAATCTGGCATGAGTGAACAACAAACTATGAAAATGACTGGACATGGAAGTTCGAACTCGATGAAGCCGTATCTACATCTCAATGCCGAACATCTTCAGAATATAGTGAGCAGAAATTCTCCAAGTACATCAAGTAATAACACCAACAATAACAATACCTTGTATCCATCTAATAAAGGACCTACTATTCCGAATTTTTATAATTGTACCATTCATAATAATTGAGTAAAGTCTAGGATAATGTTATATGTTCATAAAACCTTGTTCATTGTTATAACTAACAGATTATTCATATTTATAACAAATTGTAATTCAATCCTCATGATTATAATGTGTACAATAAATGCTTCATTTGCTTCGTGAAATAGTCTATTGAAATACCACTATTTTCTGAATATCTCCTCAAAATTCTGTCTCTTATTGTTGACTCAATTGTGTTGCCGTACAGCAATACCACTCGTCCTGACGGACTCGTGGTGTAGCTCGACAACACACTTTCGTGACAGAATTATCTCGAATATTCAGAACATCGTGATATTACTTATGATAACATGTAACCAAATATCAATGTCACTCATCTCTGACAGACCAAAATAACTCCAGCTGTCAGTGGTGATGCATGGCATGCAAGGCATTGGACGAGTTTTTGGCAATCGAAATAGATTTTTTTCATTGAGTGAAAGAATATTTTTGTCCTTCAAAGAGGGGTTGATCTCGAGAATTTCCAACAGATTCGACAAACTACCATTCTGGCAAATGTGTAAAATTTCTGAATCAGTATTAATGTTGGATGAGTGTTTAGAGTTAAGGACATGGTGAGCAAATGAATTTTGGATATTGAACTCCTGGTCAATAATAGTATTTCCATATTTTTCTATAAATTCCACATGTTCATTTACTCTCGTATAGATTCTTTTACCAGCCTGACCAATATACTGTGCATTGGGTTCCGAACAAGAGATTTCATATACACCTGACTCATCAGACGTATGTGGTATTTTGCCTTTAGAATTAACGAATTTATGAGAAATGTGTCTTTTGTGCTGAAAAATAACATGTATTTTTTTTTGTTCAGATAAAGATGGAAAGGACTACATCGCCAGAGGATGCCTTCCTGCTGGCACCTTCGGTTGCAGCGCCATGGCCAAAGCAGTTGGATGGCTTTCTTCCACGACCAGTGACGATGGAGACAGCCTCCAAAACTTGTCCTGCGAGACCTGCGAAACCGACAAGTGCAATTCGGCCGACAGGTTCACCGGATTCACGCTCGTCGGACTCGTTTTGTCCGCGTTCGTTTTCATGCTCTAAACGAGCACTCAATGTTTCTAGTCGGTCCTCGATGGAGCATGGGGTCTCGTGAACCGTTCTGTATCGATGTTTGCATAGGTACAGTGTTACCCGTTGGTTTCCGAATATCATAATGTGGAATTTTCTCATTATTCAGCTGGAGTTTGGCTTTCATTGACCGTTTTAGCTTTGGGAATATTGCAATATACTGCTTTTACAAAATTGAAAGCAGTTAGTTGGTCATATTTCAGGATATGTTGGATACAGTTGTTGTCTCTCTGGTTTTTTGTTTCTGGCTCATTGAAATCCAGCAAATCCGAAAATACCATCAGAGATTTAGATAATGACGAAACGCACTGATCTTCTGAAGGATCTTCTCTGGTTTCTTCGGAAAAATATTCCATAAAAATTATAAATTTTCTATCGAGATGAAAAGTGGATTTCAATCAATATAGCCTGTGTGATTATTTGCACCTGGTAATGGTTTTCGTTCATGTTTTCTAAGATATTCAATTGCATTTGTGTAGAATTAATTCATAATCTTGGCAGTTTTTTATTCTTTCGTCACATGAAATTCATTAAAAGATGCATCAGATGCTTGAACCGACCAAATACCTAACTTTCAAATTGAAGGGATTCTTGATACATTAGTATCATTCCAGAAATATCTACTCAGAACTCTAGAGGAATTACCAGATCAATGTCATTTGACATAATTTCCAAGGCAAAGAACTTTCCTCGAACTCGAAATTTGCATTAAACCTAAATAATAAGAAAATTCCATTATGATTTGTACTCCAATAATAACACAGTATACATATATTTACGGAACCATTTGTACAAGTTAGTACCTCTTATACAAGTCTATTCATGTATTATCCGTTGGTTACCACTATAGTTTGTTTTATATAAGAAGAGGATATATCTATATACTTGTGCTTCTGAAGGAGGAAGAAGGCCGTATAGTTTGAAGCTTGATTAAAATAATACTGTAGCGAGTGAAAAAACTATTTCTTAGGGTTATTTTTCCTGATTGAATGCCGGCCAATGAAATGAAGCATTCTGCTCAATTCGAACCAATAACAAATCGATTTCACAAATTTCATGATTCACCTTCACTGTTATGTTATTCAATGTGGAATGAAGAATTCTTCCTGAGGTACGAGGTTTCAAATGGATAAAGAAAGTTTAACTAGAAGTATTCGAAACAGTAAATGAAAAAAATACATACTGATACAATATTTTGGTCAAAGCTCAAGGGGAATAATGAAAAAATGCTTGTCTTCGTCATTGTGTGTATCAATATGGTTATGATTATCAACACTCCCCGTGAAATGCCCTTATTGGTACCCACATCAGATCAACTATATGAATAAACACACAATTGTTGTGTAATTTGGATAGCAAATATATATGCAACTACCTCAGTGACTTTTATGGCCTATCAAGAAATCCCTAATGAAATAGTTCTGAATATTTTGTGAAAAAAATGTGTGAATGTATTTTTTTATTGATATATGTATCTGTAAAATAGTTTTAGAGTTCTTTATAATAATTGATATTACATTTTATATTCGTCATGCATGATGAACGATATTTTATCTCAATTTACATACAGCTTTTGAACCATGTTTTACAAAATTTCCTGTTGTATTCTGATAACATTCCAATAATTTTGTTGTTATTTTGACAGTGGCTTGGAAAAAAATATCAGTGACGTGTTCTCATCCTCTCATGATTCCATTTCATGTTAATATAGTTGGGATGCAATAATGTAGGGTATATAAGGCGCGATACAAAAGTATTCTCACTTCCAATTTTTCCATGAGAAAATGATCTGTTCAATCTGATTCATTTTTAATGCTGAGGTACCTATAACTACTTGCCATTATTCCACCTTTCTCTATCCTTTTGATTGTAGTTATGGTAGTATATGCTTTCCATATTAGGTCATTTTGATTGACAGGTAATGAATTCTCAATAATTTCCCTTCATCTTTTGGGATTCTCTTTAGTCGTTTCTATGAATAAGAATATGTCTACCTATCAGATTTATAGAAAATATCTCAAATAATCCTTGGTTGGAAAATGTTTGAGGAAGAGAAGATATATGTATTGCAGAATAACGAATTTCCAATTATCTCCAAAAATTTAGAGAAAAGTACATTCCACCTACTCGATTTCTTGTTTGATATCATTGACTGTAGATCTTTGATCTTGGGATAAGAGTATCATAGTCGATCAATTTGCAATTTCACCTACTTCCAGGATATCCAAACTTCCATCATGTTCGATAATTCATTTGATTGGTATCTACCGCTGTCTAATTATTTGTTATTTTTTCTTAAAAAAAATAAAAATAAAAATCATATTCAATCATTTTGTTGTTTCATTTTGATGTATGCCAATTTGCTTTCTATGGTTTTCGTCTCCAATTGGTTGGCTCAAAGTCCTATTGCACCTTCATCATTTTGTTCCATGACAATCCCTTGAGTTGGTTGTGTCTACCGATACTCATCAAATTTTTTTCCTGAAAAACTATCTTGGATTAAATTATCAACCTGTGATGCCATGATCCTATGATTTCTACTTCATAAATTCTAGCAAACAATATTACATGGGCCATCACAATTTCGCCGCAGTGAACCGGCAATCATCACTAGAATATTCTCATTTTTCCATATTACATCATAAAAGGGACCCGTCGGTCGATTCAATGCCAATTTTGGCGAAGCAGTACCTCCATATATTGCTTATTTCAATGTATTGTGCACTTTTGAGAGGTACCACATATGGAACATCATAGGAATTTACTTTCGTGTGCTCCAAGAGAAAAAAAAAGACCGACATAATATGAACAAATTAGGATTTGAAACCATCGGCCAACTGCCTCTGGCGGCCATGATGACCATTTTCCGGAATGGACACCCGATAGACATCGGCAGTTAGATTTGAAAGTTGGCTGCTAAAGGTTTGTGAATGTTCATTGGATGTTTTAAATAAAATCAATTATTCATGCAATTGATGGAGATTGAGAATATATTATTGGAGCTATAGTGAAATATCGTAAGGTCTATGAAGAAACATTATGTCGTTCTTGATGTTGACAAAAAGTTTTCTGAGCTTTTGGATGAAAGATTGATGGTTCTTCAAATGGAACACCTCGTATATTTTGTCACTGTTTCTGAATTATTGTTCATTATTCATTTGCGGCGTTGCTTATAGCCCAATTAGAATCATTTAGAAACATTATAATTCACAGATGTTGAATCCAATGTGCCTCTTGATCTTCTTTTTCGAAATGTCCATGAAACAATATGCATGAACTTTTATGATAATCCGACTATCGCTTTAATAGAATAGAGTCATGATTAAAGGAGTTCAGCTTCTTGGCAGCCCGTTTTATTAAAAAATTGTGGTTCCACTAAGGGGTAGTAAAACTTCGAAATTGATCACTTCAGGAGCCACATCAACTGAAAAGACAATTTACCTGAAATATTGACGGAAAACCTAAAATCTCTTAGTCTTGATATTCTATGTTTGTTATCACGAATCGGTTGAACATGTTAAGTTTTCAGGTGTTGCGATAGTCTGCAGAATTATGGCATATTCTTGTCTTTATTCTGTAATATGGACGTAGGGGTATATTATTCGACTTACTTATACATGCACCTTTGTACTTTTGCCAAATTCCCTAGAATTCCTCAGTCTTCAGATTTTCATTTGTCGGAGCAAAGATCTCAATACACACAACCACTGTCAGATTTTCAGGTTCGCAAAGTATGGTTGTTTGAACAATCTACCTATACACCTTTGTTCTCTTGCCCCTAGATGGCTCTAAAAGGCATAGATCATCCTGTTACCCTTCTGGGCATTAGAAATAAGAAGTTTTTTTACGCAGAAATATCTCTAATGCAAATTTTCATTCATGTAAGTCAAGGATCATTCAGGTTTTTTATATGTTGTTTTTTCACCGAAGTATTCTCTCACCTGATAATTTGGGGTCATGAGAATCGGCCCTTCTTCCATGCACGGCTCTGAAATTAAGAACTCTGAGTGAGCATCTAGCAAATTTGCAAGCTAGTGAAAATCATTTCAGAGTCCAAAAGACAGAATATATATACTTCTCAATTGCCTCGGTCGTTACTTATGGAAATCCATAGTGAATGTAGAGAACTTCACAAATGATGAGATTTCCACAAAATTCTTAACCACACGACATGTTTCGATAGCACAATAGCTTCATCAGGTGAAAGCTTCTACCGGGTGTACCACGATAAAAAGACGCCGGCTGTTTTTCGGAAACAATTCCACCCACAGGTTTCGGAAAAAATATTGCTGATGAAAATAGCCAAGGGAAAACTTCGGAAATTATTTTTAGTTTTCCGAAGCGGTCGCTAGAGGGGTGATTGCCTTGGCCAATTTGAAAAAAGGGATTTTGTGAGAATTAGGTGGATCAAGATATGTCAAAACCAAAATCACTTTTTTCGTAATCTCGAGTTGATTTCCAATCATATCGATGATGAAATGCCCCTGCTCCTCAAATAAATGAAGGAGGAGAGGATGAATAGCGCTATGAATACTGCAGTTTGACGTAACGGAATCCAACGAACTTGCCCTCATTATTATGAAGGAAATCCCAAGTTTTTTTAGATGAATCCGAGAAATTCGAAAAAAAATTTTTTAAAGAAATTTAGATGAAACAACCGTAGAAAGGGGTCAACAGAAAGAGTTTTCGAATGTTCAGACTGTGTTTCTAAGTTGATATTCACATTTCCGATGAAGAAAAATATGGAAAATGAGTGTCATGGTAGTAAGAATAAAGGGCATAAAACAGCTAGAGTTTAGAAAAATTCCACAGTTTTTTTTCCAATAATTGGAATGTGGTGATTTCCTATTCCTCTTTCAGGAGGAGTGAATAGGAACAGTGATTATTTCAGCGCGTTATTCGCTTGTAAACCATCTGAGAGGCGAATGGAAAAAAGTTTATTGAATAATATTGAGTTCGTGGACACCTCAAAATCTGGAAAAATTAGAAATATACCATAAAAATGGGGTGAATAGAAACAGCAGGTCAATAGAAACAACAAGCAGATAGACACAAAAAAGGGATGTGCACCAATTTTCTAGATCATATCTTGATTTTTTTCTCACCTTTGTACATAAAGTTCATTCAGCAATCCACAGGTAACGAAAAAATTATGTGGTCACATATGCAATGCGTAAACAAGATAGGATTCAAAGTTTCTAGTTCTATTTTGTCTCTTTTCGCCTTCAAGTTTCTTTTCACTTCGTTTTACGGTAAACATTTTTCTGGAAGTAGAGTGAACGAGAAAAAAGAAGGTGGAAACCGCAAGTTGATACCCCTTAAGGAACCAGAGAAATAATCGAAATAATGATAGAAAATATAAGTTGAATATAGGTACTGAAATAATCAGTAGGTAGTACTAGTGTTCACCTAGATGCACCAATTATTGTCTTCCATCATTTGCTTTACATGAATTGAGTCTTTGTCGACTGGATATGAAACTGCAGCTTCCACTTCCACCATTGGTATGCTCTCAACGGCAGTTCTGATCCTATTTTGATCATATCGTTTGTATATATAGTTGTTGATCTGGTTTGGAAAACTATATTTTTCAATCTTCCTCAATAATTAAAATCTGAAAAAGTCAGATTTGGACACTCAGCTGGCCACCCAAACATGCTACCTCTTTCTATCCACCTGCCAGAGGATAACTTTGATCTTAATAAGTCGTTAATAGCAAAATGCGCCATCATGCAATCATTATTCTGGAAAAACATATCTTTTCTTGTTTCTAAATCTACATCTTCCAGCAGAAGAAGTAGTTGATCACGCAGGAAATTGGGTAAAAACTTACATTGAGATATTCATTGAAAATATAATATGATGGTCCTATATATTTGTTCAGCCAATAATTCCGTTCCAAACATTCACTATCCATCGACCTTGATATCGAACTCACTGCATCCAATGAGGAATAATTTTCATTTTCGAACTTGCGAAGGAATCAAGAAATCTTCGAGAGACGATACAACGATTTTAAGATACCTATAATTCCCAGAAAAGAGCAGAAAATATTCTGGGACCAATAGTGCATGTGAATGCTCCATCGCTGTTAAACGTTGCTTCATAAAATGTCCATGAAATATTTATTAATAGGTACCGAGGATCATCTCACAACATATCCAGGGGCCAGTGATGATATTCTAGTCTTCTGTCGTAGGTTCATGAGTATAAGACTTGGTGCCTACATGCCTACATGATATAGGTGTAGCTTGAAAAAAGTTTGAATGTTGACGATTGATAGAAGATGAGTAGAATCATTTCAAATATTCAAATAAATTGAATTTATCAATATTAACGACCTCGTTTCTACTGATGGCTTGATAATAAACATGATGATGTGTATTATTATGTCAACATGCCATATTTGAATTTAAGATATCCATGCAAAACCCGACCAACAACTTAGGGATAATATGATCAAGGTTCATCAGAGATGCAGTCGAAAGCATACCAATTTTAAGTTTAATCCACTCGATGGAGACTCAATTCATGTATGGCAAATGATGAAAGACAATTTGTGCATATTGGAAAACACTAGTGCTACTAATTATTTCAGTACCTATTCAATTCGAATTCTCTATTCATATTCTATATCATTTCGATTATATCTTCGGTTGCTTAAGATGTCTTAACTTGCGGTTTAAACCATTTCTCTTCTCGTTTACTTTACACCGATATAGGAGCGAGAAAAATATATGGTTACATTTGAGATTCCCGAGAAGGAATGGAACATTGTCTGATTTTTCAAAAGGTGCCATCTATTGGCCAACACGGGATTCAAATCGACTCGATTTCTGATTCATCTGAAATGACTGAAAAATTCCTTCCTGATGAGACCAAGTCCGTTGAATTTCGGTACACCAAATTTTAGTCATAAGAGTTTGTCCTTCATTTATTTGAAGAGCTAGCGCAATTTTCCCATCTAAATGTCTGGAAATGATCTCAAGATCATGAAAGAAGTGATTTTGTCATACCTCTTCATACCGATTTCTCACAAAATCCCATTTTTTAAATTGGACAATGCGATAACTTCCTCTAGCGGCTGTCCTGAAAATTATTATTTCCAGAGATTCCTCTTGGCCTTTTTCATGGAACATATTTTTTCCGAATCCTGATGTGCTTCTGCACAGTTTCCAAGATACAACCAGCGTCCATTCTCAGACAGTAGAATGAACTCATTAGGATTTAGAAGCTATTGATGAAATGTCAATATGCCATTGTCATAAACTTCATATGGCAAATGACTATCACCTATATTATATTCTGGCTTTATCTTATAAGATGAGAAT